GAACAGGTTGGGTCTCGAATGACTGGATGTGTAACGGAATTACACGACCCAGATCCATTGCTGGATGCTTGGTAGTCGTCTAGACCTTTGGGCGCTGTGCTGGCCGATGCGGAGGATGCTGCCGCCGGGAGGGAGGGAATGTGTGAGTCGGCAGTGAATGCATGAGGATGGCCTGAACTGAAGGCCATGAGCTTCTTCCTTTTGCCAGCATTGGAGCCTTCTAAGCACTCAGCGTGATGATTGCCAGAACAGTTCATGGGTGCATGACAGGCCCGTTCGGATGTAGAGAGGACACCTGAATGAGGGTGGAGCTCACCCCAAAAGAAAAGAAAAGAAACGAAAAGAAAAGAAGATCTCAGAGTGCTTTTCTTACTTCTCTTTGTAGTATGTGAGCTGAGGTCTGTCTATCAACAGTTGATGGGTGTGCCATTCATCCACATGGACTTGGCTGGCCGAGGAGGAGGGGGGTGCGAGAGCAGGACAGAGAGGAGGTGGCAGAGAACGAGGGGGGGGGGAGGAGCAGGTGACGGGATGGCAGGGGCAGGAGGAGGAGGTGGTGGAGGGGGAAACGGGGAAGAGGAGCCGGTATGTGCCCTCGGCGGGCACCCGCTTGTTAATAATACCTAGCACAGCCCTTGCTGATGAAATAATGTGTGATTCAGTGACCTGCAAGCTAAGAGGCGAATGCTATGGCTCTTTTGGTTGTTTTCAGTCTTGATGGATGGTAAAGAGAATCTGGCAGTGTAGGGCTGGCAGTCCTGGCGGGATTGGAACTGTGCTCAGGCCGTAAGAAAGAGGCCGCTGTCAGAACTGGCGGATCACAATCCAAGAAATGGCCCCGAGGTAACTGCGGCCTTCGTTTTGCAGAAAATCATCAGAAAAGTGTCTGTTTGCCTTACGTCAGGTATGCAGATGATTTTGTTCAATTGCTCACTGGGATAAAGAAGACCGTAGAAGGCACGAAGTGCTTAGCCTAGACAAGACACAGCCATCTCTAGCTGAGCAAAATGAGCCTTTTTCCCAATGTCTGTGATTCTCTTATCTGGTGATAGATCAGACGTGATTCTCTTATCTGGCGATAGATCAGACGTGATTTTCTTATCTGGTGATAGATCAGACGCTAAGGGTCTTGCTCTTGCGAGCCCACCACTGTGCATACCAGGTCAGGATATCTTTTTTTAATAAACAGAACCTTATGGTTCTGGCTCCTGTCCATTATGGGCAGCGTCAGTTCGGTTCCTATTCCACCGGCAAGTCTGAAACGATTACAAAAATACTAAGTCTAATCCATTAGGACCCCCTAAGCGTTCTAGCCATGGCGCTCTTAAATCCCAGAAACGCATAGTTTCACCTCCAAAAATAATCTCACCGGTTGGAGATCTCATAAGATATTTACCTAAACCAGTAGGTCCTTGGGAAGATCCTACATTAGCACCAAGTCTCTGATCTCTGACCAAGAAACTAAATGCTTGTGCTTGAGATGCCTCTGGCACACACATATCCACACACGAGGCCCGGGTGGACGACATTGATTATTTCCGGAGGAAAGGCTGTGCCACCCCTCACCCTGCCTACGTTAGCCTGACCATCTATCCCTGTCCTTCCCGGCGTCAGTTGGCAGGCTGCAGCCCAAGGGGTCCCCCTTCTAGACAGCGGTAGTTCTGCGCTGCTCAGTGGTGGCTCCCCAAAAAACCCTGTGGGTTGGACTGTCTGGCGTATCCTATAGGAGCTCTATGCGTGGCCGGATGGCCAGCCCGAAGCTCTCCTTGGGTTTTGCTGCCTCCCAGGGGCCATCTACCCGCTAAACCCTAAACCCTGATCTGGTTTCTCTGGGTCCGCCTGAGTTTTAACTCAGGCCTGGGCAAGGGCCAAACCAGCGGCTGAATCCTGGGATCTGCTGGTCCCTGATGAAGTGGCTGCTGCCAGGTGAGTGTGTCCTTGGGGATCCCACTGCACTCTCCAGACAAGCCTGGTGGTGTTGCCTTCTATGACCCCCAGTTTCCCTCTCCCCACACACCTCCTCGGTGAACTTGTTGATGATGCCTTGTTTCTTAGTGAGGTCGTCTTTGATCCTCTTCCTCGCCCTGCTCCAGTCAGAATGGTACTCTGTTTGCAAGGTTTGTGTGAGGCCTTCCCATGCTTCTGGCAGCGGCGTGGTTTGTGCTCTGATCGTCTGTCTGCAGCATCTCTCTGCCCCTCACAATAGCGCACAAGTGCACCAGCACTTCCACACTTCATGCGAATGAGCAATCTCCCGAGTGAGGAGGCTGGCCAGTCCTTATATTGTCTTGGATTGAGCTTCAGCTCGTGCCAGCCTCTGCTTCTTGGGCTTGACTTGGTTCCGGTACCACATCCCCACGGCCTGTCTGCTTTCGAATGTCAGGGCCTGGAACCTTCCAGAATTTTCATTGGTGTGCTGCTGCTTGGGCCTTCGAGTCACAACTTTTCGATTATGACACATGGTTTTGACTGTGGACTGTGACTGTTTGCCGGGTGCCTGTTGGACTTGACTGCTAAGGTACCCGACTGTGACTTTTCTGAAACTGACTGACTCGGCCTTTCTTGGCCAGGGCCTCTGACCGTGAAACCCGAATTTGGGGTCTGAAACGTGGAAGGCCTTTCAAAAGGCCAGAAACAGGGATCAAAAGTCACGTCCCAAGTCTGAGAAATGTCTGAGAAAGTGCCCAGGGTCAAGGGGTACTAGGGTCTGAGTCAAAACCTGTGTCCAGTACCCCAACGTGAGACAGTTGACCCTTGGAAAATCAAGAGTCAACCCCAGCACGGGATTCCAGGCCCGAAGTCAAAGTCAACACTTAGGAGTCCACCACGGCCGTCGATCAGATGCATCTCAATGGATGTCTGCAGGTATCCAGAAGATTCTGGTTCATTTGGGACTCAGCCAGAAGATGGGACAGCACTGCATCCAGGCCCTTGACTTCCAGGTGATCTGGACCGTCAGCTGACTTGAGGCTGAGTCTGGTCAAGCGAGTCAACGCTATAAAACGTTGACCCAGCCACTGGGGAGGAATCGGCCTTGCGCTGTCTTGATGCTAGTGCTGTATCGCGAGGCTGCTGGATCTGTGTGCTGGCGCCAGATGCTGCTGGTAGGCGCCAGCCTAGAGGGAGATTATGTTGGCGCGGCTGTAGCTGCGTAGGTGAAGACTAGGTGATGAAGATTGGTGAGGAGGAGGAGGATCAGGGCGGTGAGACTGACGGGAGATGAGAAGCTTACCTGGACTTACCTGGCGGCGACACATGTGATCTGCTGCTGTCTACACGAAGGTGGGAAAGTGCTGCACCATCCTCCATATCTGATTGCTGACGTGAAGAGAGGATGGGCGCCTTGTGATGATCCGCAGAGTGATTATTTCAGAGAATGTCAGAAGGAACGTACATTGCTGAGGTGGTGATGGGGGAGATGCCCGAAGTGGGAGTGGGAGAGTGTTGCATACTGTAAAGGCGCAGACCAGAACAAGAACCGACCTCTCTCACAAAGTACAAGATAACGTAGCGGAAAACTTAGATACCAATGATCCGAACAATCAATATTGCAATGCAGCCTTGAACGTACATCATCATCATCATTCCATGGTGTGAAGGGGGTCCGGCGCTCACACAGGAAGAATGCGCCAGCCCCAACCATACACAGGCGAAGAAGAGGGGGGTTAGACGAAGAAGAGGGGAAGATGGGAATGTCGTCAACACCAAGTCTTCGGCACAGGCCCAAATAGTCCCTCGTCAAAATGTCTGAATCCCAATGTTGAGTCTGGATCCAATGTCGTCAAGTTTCGAGTCACAACTCTCTCTCTCTCTGTCGTAGTCTGCTGATACTGAGAAGTCAGGTGGTGAGAGGGTGAAGAAGAGATGGTGGACTTAGAACTCTCTCTCTCTCTCTCAGTCCGGAACTAACCTGTGAAGCTGGCGCCTTGATGCAGGTACCTCGAAGATGGAGCTGGAGCTCTGGCGCCACAGGTAAGTCCCACTGACCTCCGCCAGCCATCTCTCCCAAACACTACTACTACCACCCACTAGCGCCCAACGCTGAAGACTACTGCTACTGCTACTAGCGCCCAGCACTGAAGACTACTGCTAGCGCTAAGCTGCTCCTGCAGCGCTCCTCCAGAGTGCTGCGGCCGAATCCTGAAGACTACTCCTGCCTTCTGTCCAACTACCTACCCGTGAAGTGCATGGGAACTTCCTAAAGTTCCTATGTACTACTCGGCCTGCCTCCTGACTGCAGGGCGAGGCAGTCCAGGAGGCTGCTCTTGCCAATGCCGAAGGGAGTCAGGGGCTGCCGCTGCAGCTCCTGCTGAGGCTGTCGTGGGAACAGGCCAAAAATAGCCTGTTCCCGAAACCCTGGTTTTGTGCCTGAGTGTTAGGGTAGGTTGATCTTATGAGGGCCCGAAAGTGGCCCTCCGTTTCAGGCTGAAAAGCCTCGGGGCTGAAAAGCCCTGTCTTAGGCTGAAAACGAAATAGGGCCTGCAGGCCCTCGTTTTCAGTCTTTCAGGCTGAAACGACAGGGCCTGTAAGCCCTTATTTCTAGGCTTTTAGGCTGAGAATGCGGGACGGGCCCTGCAGGCCCGTGTGGCTACGCAGTATG